GCACGTGCATTTTGTGGAATTTGTTCGTTACAGGCAGTACATTCGTAATTCCACGTGATTAGAATTAACCCCAGACTTATAATAGACTACTCGTCTCTGAAAATATATAATTACGACAGAAACAAATAACTGAATTCTGAACGTGAGGAAAATCTAGATTTCATTCATTTAGAGCTTCTGCACTACAGAAAGGGCTGGGTGGAAGGGCATCTCGGCATAAAATAAGATAAGATAAGATAATATTTATTTGCAGAAACGTTCCATTACGGGACAGATGCAATTTTAAAAGACAAGACATTATGATTCATATATACATATATACAGACATTCATAATTTACATTCCTGTAGACACATACAAAAACAAACAATCAATATTACATATGTGATGATATTTTTATACATAAAATGTCAACGGTTGATTATGAAGGGGTATTTATTGTTTGAAATTATAGATATGGAAACAAATGCAGTTGATATTGACTGCTTCATTATTTGACAGGATGAATTGAAATAGTTTGTCTTCATGACTGTGGACATATAAATTTACATTTTGTCTGGATAATTTTTCAAAGAGTATATATCTTTCTTGAGTGTGTTTAATACAGTGAAGTAAGTAGTGTTTTTCGTCATCAGTGGTTGAACGTGTAGAGCATAGCCTCTGATGTAGTGGGGTTGGTGGCTTTGTATGTCTTCCAAGTTCAATATTTAATTTATGGTTACTTAATCTTAGTGGAGAAAAGTGCACTCGATATTGTTTTACTTTACAGTGACTGAGATAGGGTTCTAATTTTATTTCATTTTTAACTATCCTATATGTCCTAAGTTTGTTTCCAGTGCCTCTTGTTGCATTTACATCTTGAAGAGATTCCTTGAAGAGGGAGTTGAAATTAGATTTGATTGTCTCTTTGAATATTGGTAATAGGAAAGCTGTAGTCTGTCTTACAGCCCCTGATACATTTAAATCAACTACAGCCCATGCAAGTCTATAATGTTTGGTAAGTCTAGATTACTGCAGTATCTCTGAAAATGAAGAGAATCACTGGGCTCCCTTTTTATTAGATTTTTATTAAGATAACTGAACAACTGTTTTTTTCTGTACGATATGTTCATTTCAGAGACTATATGTTAGTCTAGGAAAGCTGAAGTACTCAAATTGTGTTTTCCTAAGAATAGATTGAGCTGGTAAACCCATCCTAATCGTTTTTTCACCAAATATGTACTTTCTGTAAAAGCAATCTGAAGTATTATGTTTTTGGAAGAACATACATGGTTATAAAAAATTTGCTATTTTGATTAAAACTGTGTAGATAAGAGGCATATGACTTCATAAAATATAATCAGCATTACAAATGTTTTAAACTTTTTATATACCAAGAAATTTATTGTATTATAAAACATCTCACAGACTGTTAGTCTACAATGCATTAGACAAAGACTGAAATGCCACCCACTCTTGTAAAGATTCCGAAAGTAAAAGATACGAGAGACCGACCAAGTTTGACATCCAGGTCTTTTGATGATGCATGTTGTCCGCACGGTCGGCTAGTTTTGTGATAGCCGCGGTCATGTTCATCTGTCTGGGGTCAGTGTCTGGCTGGAATAAACGGTTTTTCATCCTTCACATTTGTATCTGCAACTCCAGTTACTGTTTCATTTCACACCTTTGATATGGTGATAGGGGTTGATGTAGGCCCCAATCTGTTTTAAACACTACTGATGGTTTGGGGTATCTGTCAATCGTTCGTACGGTCTGTTTGGAAAATAAACCATTAACGTCTACAGGTTTCGGTTTTCTCACGGTAAAGCGGCAGTTTTTTTCTTATCGGTTTAGATTGTCAGTGTATGTGGATATAAATAATGTGTGAAGTTTGTTAGAGATGAATATACAAGAATAACATAAGTATAAAGTACCGACAAACATGTGAATCCATAGACCAACATCCAGTCTCTGAAATGAACATATCGTACAGGAAAAAAACAGTTGTTCAGTCATCTTAATAAAAATATAATAAAAGGGAGCTCAGTGACTCTTCATTCCTGATACTGCAGTTATCTAGACTTGCCAAACATTAGAGACTTGCATGGGCTGTATTTGATATATATTTGTATCAGGGTCTGTAAGACAGACTAGTGAATCCACGGCCGTGGCTGGTATTGCCACTTCAGTACTCCGGATATTGATAATGCGGGCATTCTGAAAATATGTCGATTGTAAACGTAAATACAATAACACACTTATTCACTGTTCTTTGTTTAGACATGCGCCCATATGCTAAATATGAAATACGCCTAGTTACTATAATATATTACAGAGCTCCAGATAAGCTTTTGGTGTTGTGGGTATTTTACCCATGCATTTTAAAATCATTGGGTATCAGTAATTCTATCTGGGTATTCAAATTTCTGTCACCCACTAGTTTTTACACATGTGGGTATTTAAGTTAAATATTTAAAAACACTATTCATCTAGTCCCTGCAAACTGGTGTAAAAATACCACGATATTTCCACAAGAAAGTGTGATGGCAAATGATCATGATGTAACTGTCATCGTGGAGTTTGGCAAGGTTGACGGAATGTCCGTTTATAATTTCAAATTAGTTGCTGATTTGCTAATCGAAAACGCAGGGTTACTTCACAATATATTGATGATACGCACAAGTTTTATTTTTGTAGCGAATCTGTAATGTTCGTTGCGTATTTGATACGCTTGGATTTGATTTTACTGCGTATTTCTGCATTTTTGATGCGTATTTTATTAGTCACTATATGGCTGAAATATTACCGATGTGACTTTAAATCGTAACTCACTCACTAGTATAATATATAAGGTAAATGCGTTTGGAAAGCTCCACAAATAACTCTGAAATAGTACCATGACATACTACTGATTCAAAAGTCCAGGCATATTCACTGATACCTGATTGTGTGGAAGTGGCAACACGACTAATCACTATGCATTCAGCAGACTATTGTCAGTGTTGCTATATCACCAATAGTTAATGCATATTCAGTCTTAATTACAAGGCATTCAAATCAATTCAATAGTAAAGTAAAGGCTTGTCTTCATAAACCATATTCACTGCCGTTAATAGATCAGGTGCTTTATTATTGTCAACACGTTGGTAGAAAAGCTGAGTCGAAATTGGATTTAACGTCGCGTCCAAGATTATTGTACTTATATAGCGACGTACATGCACGTGTGTGTGGCTGTTTGTACTAGTCCGGACTGATGCCGATTTATAGTGCAAGCACACTGAGATACCAGTTTAACATGAAAACCCGTCTCAGACACAGTATACTGACTCCGAGCCGACCAGTCCTTGTTTTAGCCCCTTAATGCCGAGCACCAGAAATAGTAACAACAAGTACAATCTGTAAACGTCTTTTGGTATGACGCGGCCGGGCATCGAACCCCGGACCTTCCGCTCTCCGGGCGGACGCTTTACCACTAGACCACGGAGGCAGTCGGGTAGAAACGGAAAGACAAGGTTATAACACATGTTTTGAAAGTACCACCGAGTGTGAGTGACTGGTTTAACGCCGATTTGAAACGCGGAGAGTCTTTGTGTTGCAGGAATGCCCGAAGTGACGCAGGTCTTAGGCGTTTATCACTTTAATGAAACCCACAAGCACGGACATGGTTCTGTTTGTTTATTTGTTGTTTAACGCCGCACTCAGTAATATTCCAGCTATATGACGGCGGTCTGTAAATAATCCAGTAATCCAGTAATAATCCAGTATTTGACATCATGAGCATCGATCCATGCCAATGGGACACGATGACATGTTTCAACCAAGTCAGCGAACTTGACCACCGGATCGCGTTAGTCGTCTCTTACGACAAGCATAGTTGCCTTTTACGGCAAGCATTGGTTGCTGAAGACCTATTCTACCCCGGATCTTCACGGGTCATATGGTTCTGACAAACCTAGAAACATAATCGGGACGAATCGGGATTCGAACCTACGATTATAGGTTTCTGGCGTTCCAACGAAAAGACTTTGGAACATTCCTTTATATGTTTGATATATATGAATTTATATGGTGTTCTAAATTATAGGCGGGACACTTCTGGCACAATGGCGTCCCTGGACCACCAAAGTAAGCTGATCGTGCGTTCGAATCCGATGTTCAAACCCTTGTTCGTGGTTTGACCAAAGAAGCATATATCTACGACACACCATCACTTTGCATGGGTGGGCGCTCAAATTACGCTGACACGACGTGATATAACTGTGATATCGTTCCAAGCAGCGCTACAACCCCATCACCTACCCATCACTGATACACATAATCCAGCATCAGAACGTGATATACAAAGAAATCTTCAGATCAAGTCTATGGGAGTGACTTGGGTTTAACAACGTAACAATACAGCTAAATCAAGTCGTCTCATGCCTTAACACTCAAGATCGTACATAAAGCATACATGTGCGACGTTAAGTTTTATTGTTGAAATAGATGAAAAGCAGATGCTTCAACATCAAGTTCCATTAAACAAGCCCCAACTCTTCCATCACCGTATGGCCTGACAGAGAATATCTCTGCACACACAGTGGCCACATTATAATCATTTGGCCAACGCGTTAACTCTATCGTGGCTAGATTGGTGCCACCTGGGGGTTGTAGCTAAAGCAAAATGGCTAATACAGCATAGACGGAGATACTCCCGTCTGGCTGGTCGGTGTAGTCCCGGCTTAAGACGACACATCTGTGCAGACAAGGCGCGTTTGTATCTGTTACACAAGCCACAGATTAGAGCAACGTATACGTACGTATAAACACATTATGGTAATATCATAATAACCACATGTCACCACAGGTGTTACCGGAGAAGTCCCAACACGCGGCGCTATCTCAGTGCAGGAGGTGCACAATAAGGTAAAGCCTGAGGAAGTCGTTATCAAAAATGTGTTAGTTACCTCATCTCCAATTATAATACAGCAGACGAGTCCCATGAGTTCCGAAAGAGGACATATTTTCAGTTCAATAGTGTCTTCAGCTAGAGTTTTCGAAGAGTAGGTATGTCTCATGTAGTACATTAGACACTTTCCCTACAGTAGACCTGTCCCCGACAGTTGGTATGTCCACTTCAGTTGGCGTGTCCCCTACAGTAGCCATGTCCCCTACAATTGGTATGTCCCCTACAGTTGACATGTCCCCTACAGTAGACATGTCCCCTTCAGTTGGTATGTCCCCTTCAGTTGACATGTCCCCTTCAGTTGGTATGTCCCCTTCAGTTGGTATGTCCCCTACAGTAGACATGTCCCCTTCAATTGGTATGTCCCCTTCAGTTGACATGTCCCCTTCAGTTGGTATGTCCCCTTCAGTTGGTATGTCCCCTTCAGTTGGCATGTCCCCTACAGTTGGCATGTCCCCTACAGTTGGTATGTCCCCTTCAGTTGGCGTGTCCCCTACAGTTGGCGTGTCCCCTACAGTTGGCGTGTCCCCTACAGTTGGCATGTCCCCTACAGTTGGCGTGTCCCCTTCAGTTGGCATGTCCCCTACAGTAGACCTGTCCCCTTCAGTTGGCGTGTCCCCTACAGTTGGCATGTCCCCTTCAGTTGGCGTGTCCCCTACAGTTGGCATGGCCCCTACAGTTGGCGTGTCCCCTACAGTAGGCATGTCCCCTACAGTTGGCATGTCCCCTACAGTTGGCATGGCCCCTACAGTTGGCGTGTCCCCTACAGTAGGCATGTCCCCTACAGTTGGCATGTCCCCTGCAGTAGCCATGTCCCCGACAGTAGACATGTCCCCACAGGTGTTACCGGAGAAGTCTTAACACGCGGCGCTATATCAGTGTTACTGTAGGAATATCAGTAATTCCCATACATAAGACACATATGCTGGGTATGTCCCTCGCATATTCCATAAATTAAGCATACACATTTTACGTTTCTGTAGACACTTTCCCTTCAGTCCGCACACATTACCCTTCATTGTGCATGTCCCTACAGTTCTCCTATATTATCATAGAAAACATAACCCTGATTTAAGCATCCAAACAAGGCAAGTCCTCCATCCCCATGTGGTGCCCAATGATATCGGAGAACATCTGAAAAACAGGAACGCCTCAGCAGAAAATATCTGAATATTCACCCAAAATGGCTAGAAAAAATTCCATCAACCACTTTAAACTAAAACATATTCTCGTGAGCAGTTTACAAATACATAAAGTGTGCACAGCTTTCCTAAAGCATGTCGTTCCTGTTTAATCCTATCACAACAATGCTGTTTTGGGTAAAACACAATATTATACACACAAGCCGTTCTTTGAAGCTGTCTCAGCAATTTCCTGAACATGCATTAAAGCTTCATAACAAAACAATTAAAGTATTTGTGTTTATTTTTACAGATGTTTTAGCAGCTCCGGGTAATACAATAATCGCTTTCAGTACAACGCCCAAGACTGACTTCTCCAGCAATATTGTTTTCAAATTCAAACTACTATGAGTTATAGTCAAACAAATCACATTTCTCAAAATAGGCCTGTTGTGTTTAAAATTATCACTTACATGTTTAAATATTACTCCACTCACAACAATATCAAGAAATAGTTATAATGAATCGTTTGAAATGTACAGTTTAGTTTGTTAGCGTCGCACTCAGGAATATTCCAGCCATGTGACGGCGGTCTGTAAATAATCGAGTCTGGACCAGGCAATCCAGTGGATGACATTATGATCAACGGTCTATGCAATTGGCATACGATGACATGCATCAACCAAGTCAGCGAGCCTGACCACCCGATCCCGTCAGTCGCCTCTTACGACGAGCATGGGGTCCGTGAAGGCTTGGGCGAAAATTAGGTCTTCAGCAACCCATGCTAAAGAAACAACACTAAACCAACCAAACAGCTAGCATAGGTTGATGAAGACCCAATTCTTACCCGGATCTTCACGGGTCACACAAAATACAAAGAATTCCAACCCTTCGAGATATCGTCTTATTCGAGATACAGACAGAAACATGTATTTCTTCTTTTACGTATAGAGCGAACGAGTGAGTATGGTTTTACAACGCTTTTAGCAATACTCCAGCAATTGCATTGCGGGGGACACAAGAAATTGGCTACACACACTGTACCAAAGCGGAGAATCGAACCCGGGCCTTCAGCGTGACGAGCGAACGCTTTAACCACCGAAGAGGCTACCCCACCGCCCCTATATAGAGCGAAATGGATCAAGACAAAATCAAGGCACAAAATATCCGTATTTGAACCAAGTACCGTTGTAGATGGATAGTTAAGTGGCTCTTCAGTGCCGTAGCCAGCTGGGGGGCAACTACCCCCCCCCCCCCCCCGTCAAAAAAGTTAACTACGGCCTTGCTCTTATCTTTACAAGGTGTTTAAGGCATCGCATCCTGGCCATAGACACACCCTTGGTTTTTTCACGATTATCCCGTGAAGATCTCGGGGTAGAGTATGTCTTCAGCAACCCATGCTTGCCGTAAAAGGCGACAATGCTTGTCGTAAAAGGTGACTAACAGGATCCGGTGGTCAGGCTCGCTGATTTGGTTGATGCATGTGCCGATGCTCATGATAACAATCACTGGATTGTCTAGTCAAGAATCCATTATTTACAGACCGCCGACATATAGCTGGAAAATTGCTGAGTGCGGCGTTAAACAACAAACCAACCAACCAACCAACCAACCTGTTCACGATTAGCTATAAAATAGGAAAGATATGTCAGCGTTCCACCAACGAGACAGACCGAAGAGAGCGGTATCTCCGTAAACTTATATATTGTCCTCGTAGCATATATTTGGCACGCCTAACATCCGCATTGTTAAAAATAAAACAAATATATTTGACACATGTCGTCATCTTGGTCTTTGAACACTCGACCCCATGATGTCGAGTATCGCTGGGCTATGCGCATGACGACGTATTGAAGATTAACGTGCACGTGCGACTCCAGCGCCTCAGCAGTTATGTAAACAGCCACGGGTGATCCACGGCAACAGAAGACAAATCCAGGAGAAAGAAGATTAACACCGAGGACTATATTCCACTTATTCCGTAACCCGAACAGCCAAATAACACGATCGCAGGTGACACGACTCATTCATTGCAATCGGGTGGATATTACATAACAATATCGTATTTTGTGACAAGATGTTATCGATCTGCTTTGCTCGGTGTCGAATTTCTCAATCCAGAAATGAATATGTGTTAATAACTAAAAACACAACGGTTTGGCCGAAGTTAAAGCATATCATGAATGTATGCAAATACCGTACCTGACCTGTATAATTTGCGACCATTCATAAAGACACGTTCAGTAAACTATGTTTATAACGAACTGACTGATATAACGAACTTATTTTTTAGTACCAGCCGTTTGTTGAATATATGCTGTATATATGCTTATAACGAACTACAGTTATTGCGAACTAAAATTAGTGATCCCTTTGAGTTCGTTATAACCGTAGTTTACTGTATTTTCATAAAATGTTGAAATTATTTTAGACAGTGCGTGAGTTTTTACAGATTAAATTGCAATATATCCAATACAGTCATTGCTATTATGTTTGGCAAGTCCAGAATACTGCAGTAGGAGGAGGAAAATGAAGAGTGTCTCTTGTCTACTTTTTATTATATTTTATAACTATAATTTAATAACTATTATGTTCTGCAATATTGCTGAAGTATTGCTAAAAGCGGCGTAAAACGATACTCGCTCACGTTCTCTCATTTTTTTCATTTGTTAAATTTACTTTGCGCTGCGGGGGCGGTCGGGTATCCTAGTGGTTAAAGCGTTCGCTCGTCACGCCGAAGATCCGGGTTGGATTCCCGACATGGGTACAATGTGTAAAGCCCATTTCTGGTGTCCCCCGCCGTGATATTGCTATAAGCAGCGTACAACCATACTCACTCACTCACTCACTTTGCGCTGCGGCACACGAATCCTTTGTTTCTGGTGCAAACACATTGTCCTTAAACAACCTTATATGCTAAAGACTTCACCATTTCACTTCCCCTGTGTGGTGGTGTAACTTGAAGCTAAAGAGTTGGATCGTCACAATAAAAGGGGTTCAATTCCCAACATAACAGGCGTATAATGCGTGCAGCCAATACACGTGACTGTATGCCTGTGAAGATCCGGGTTTGATACGATCTTCAGCAAACCATGCTTGCCGTTAGAGGCGACTAACGGGATCGGGTGGTCAGGCTTGCTAACTTGCATGGTTGATGCATGTCATCGTATCCCAATTGCGTGGATCGATGTTCGGGATGTCAGTCACTGCATTTTTGGTCCAGACTCGATTATTTACAGACCGACGTCATATAGCTGAGTGCGGCTTTAAACAACAAACAAACAAACAACATGTGACTGCAGTCGTCATATGACGACATGGTATACTGCTAAAACCTAACTCACTAAAGCTATCTTGAACAGTATTCCAGTTATATCACGGGTGTCAGTTTTATTTGGGTGGAAAGCCCGAAGTGATGCTGTTCACCACGCGGGTCCGGTGCTGACAAACATATAGAAACACAATCAGAGAGAATCTGGGATTCGAACCCGCGATCATAGGTTTATAGCAAGCCTAAGGGACGCAACTCTGCACAGCGAGATATGACGCCTCGGCCACCTGTCAGTGCATTACCTTATAATTTACTCATCGTTGACCTAATGCACACTTTTTGAGAAGCATCATATATAAAGCATGTGATTTCACATCTACATATCTAAATATACCGCAGTGTGTATACATAGGCAAATATATACACACAAATATACGTTTTACTTGCACATCCAACTGCATGACATCAAAAGACCTAAATAGAGTATTCAAGATTTTCTTTTTGAATAAGCCTGTCCTTATTCACCCCTAATGATTCATAGTATCGTTCATTTGCACTGAAAAACAGAATCACAACCCGTGCAATTGTGAACATGTTTTTTACGATCTCTGCTGTTCGGCCATAGGTTGAAATTGTTGTAGCACACTATAAGAGCCCTCGTATAGTCATGCCTTGAGCCCCCAGTGTGGGAAAGAAAGCGTTCAAGCGAGATGAAATCGCTACAATGTCCGCGTCATCGGCAGGGTAAGCGTCAATATGATTAGTCCTGCATCAAATTTTCGCATGGGAAATGCATCGAGAGCGATCACTCTTGTTTTCGAGTCGTATATCAAGTAACACGTTAATTACAGAGGAAGCATTATAAGCAATAATTTTGAGGAATGAAGTTCTGCGAAGCATGACCAAGCGTGTTCGTTTCTGATCAAATCTTCTCACGGTTATGGCGATTCTGAAAGATCTAGAACACCGCTCCACCCACACGAATACTATAGTATTTCACTAATATGCTATTATATTCTATCACAACTGCCGTACTCATTTTTGGGGAAAGTGACCCAGTCCTCTAAAGCAGAGTTGTGCCCCTTGGCACGCCAGGAACCTATGATGGTGGGTTCGAATCCCGGTTCGCCCCGATTATGTTTCTAGGTTTGTCAGCACCATACCCGTGCTCGTGGGTTTTACCGAAGTGATAAACGTCTGAGACCTGCATTAAGCTGACACGCTGCGATATAACTAGAATACTGTTAAACTGGGTTAAACCAAACTTACTCACAAACACTTAGCACAGAATTGCCCTCGCCCGTGATAGTAATTTGATTGGGCGGCCATTTTTTGTGTTATGTTGTTTTAATCGGCCTCAAAACAAAGATATGGTAGTGAATGGATTCCTCATCATAGAATGGGGATAAACACTTAGACTAACATCCAGTCTCTGAAATGAACATATCGTGCAGAAAAAATACATTTGTTCAGTTATCTTAATATAAATATAATAAAAGGGAGCCCAGTGACTCTCTTCATTTTCATACTGCAGTAATCAAAACTTGCCAAACATTATAGACTTGCATGGGCTGTATTTTATACATATTTGTATCAGGGTCTGTAAAACAGACTAATAAACACTTGATATTGGAGGATGTCGTAGACGACGACTTACGAGGCTCTGGCAGTAATAATGCGTGAAATATACACAGGGGTGCAGGAGGCGCTTATTCCCCCGTTTTTTCAGACACTTTACATATTAATTACGCCCCCAGCCAAGGTTTGTTTATTTGCTTTTTTGTTTGTTGTTTAATGCCGCACTCAGCAATGTTCCAGCTATATATGACGGCGGTGTGTAAATAATCGAGTCTGAACCAGACAATCCGGTGATTGATATCATGAGTATCAATCAACGCAATTGGGATCGATGCCATGCATCAACCGAGTCGGCGAGCCGACCACCCGTTCCCGCCTCTTACGACAAGCATGAGTTGCTGAAGGCCTATTCTAACCCGGATCTTCGCGGGTCCCACCCATTGTTGAAATGCAGAGTATTAACGTCACATTGCAGTGGTTGTCACATGCGTTTTGAGGCATTGATGCACTGGCAAGACCGGATGTTTCTCAAGGCCTCTCCCCCCAATAACGTGTCTCAGTTGGGACAAACTTTGTCTGACATTTGGAACAACATCCCCAGGCTGTTTTCAATCATCTGGTGTCTTCACTGCGCCGCCGCTGCATCGCCTGTATCAGTGAGTGAGTGAGTTTGGCTTTACGCCGCTTTTAGCAATATTCCAGCAATATCACGGCGGGGGACACCAGAAATGGGCTTCACACATTGTATCCATGTCGGGATTCGAACCCGGGTCTTCGGCGTGACGAGCGAATGCTTTAACCACTAGGCTACCCGACTGCCCCTCATCGCCTGTATCAACACAAATAGGGGTCACATCCGATATTTATACATTGTTAATTAAGGTATCAGGTATTGATTTTACCAATGAATTTATTACGAGAGAACATGGATCAGACGAATGACCAAATATTGCGTAGTTATTTTCAATCACACAACACATACAACTCTTTATATAAGGCACGCCTACTTTTTGTCCCCCGCTAGTATATTAAGACATATACCCTGGACCCATTCCCCACTATGTAACGTGAGTGTGTATGGTTTTACGCCGCTTTTAGCAATATTCCAGCAATATCACGGCGGGGGACACCAGAAATGGGCTCACACATTGTACCCATGTCGGGAATCGAACCCGGGTCTTCTGCGTGACGAGCGAACGCTTTAACCACTAGGCTACCCAACCGCACCACTGTGTAACGGAGAGGGACACCACTATGAACGAAAGGCTGTTCGGATCAGTTGCTTTTCGCTAATGGCATGCACGGCGATTTCGGTACGGTTCATTAGAATCGACCGCCTCCGTGGCCTAGTTGATAGTGCGCCTGCGGGAGAGAGGAAGGCCGGTGGTTCGATCCACTGGCCGCGTCACACCAAAATACGTTAAATGTCGGTACTTTTTTTTCCCTGCCTGGCGCTCGGCATAAAGCGGATAAAACAAGAACTGGTTGGCTCGGAGTCAATACGCTGGGTCTGAGCAGGGTATTCATGTTAAAACTGCAGCATGGTATCTCAGTGGGCTGGCACTTTAACCCGGCACAAGTCCGGACGAGTACAAGCAGCCACGCACACGCGTGCATGCACGTCGCTATATAAGTGTGATAATCTTGAAGGCGACGTTAAAACCCTATTTCACCCCACGTCACCTCAAATTGGCGGGAAATGGTCGTACCTTCAGAAACGAACATATCCGTTTTATAAATGGAAAAGAACTGTGTGAAAAATAGTTATAAAAGCCTGAAATGTCTTGAGTTACGACAGGAAAATTGGACAAAATCGCACAACATAAATGCGATTTAGATGTGATAAGCATGCAGTTAGTAATAAAAGATATATTACCACTGATCAAGATAAAGAACACATATCAATAAAATTCCCCAGAAAACCACACACGAAGCACTGATTAGTTTGAAAAACCCGTCTAGTTGATCTGTACGCTGAACAAAGACAGATATTTTGATACTTAAAACCGTGTAGGAAATACCATGGCAGAGGAGAGTGTATACGTGTAATCGGTTGCATCGGTATGTCTTAAACATAGCATATTTGTTGTTTACTCAGCCTCGGACCAAATGACCTTTTCAAATATATATATATATATATATATATATATATATATATATATATATATATATATATATATAGTGAGTGAGTATGGTTTTACGTCGCTTTTAGCAATATTCCAGCAATATCACAGCAGGGGACACCAGAAATGGGTTTCACACATGTACCCATGTCGGGAATCGAACCCGGGTCTTCGGCGTGGCGAGCGAACGCTTTAACCACTAGGCTACCCGACCGCCCTCTATATATTCCTCTTAAATAAAATATTCAAAGCTGTATTTATTTAATCTGTTGAATAATAAGCTTTAAAATACATATACGCATTAAACAAACTGTTATTATTCTTAAGTGAAGCATTCGAATATTAGGTTTATTTGTTTGATACTTTACATTACATTCAGTAATATTTCACGATATAACGACGGCCTGTAAATGACCGAGTCTTGACCACACAATATTCAGAAATTTACATCATGAGCATCCATCTACGCGCGTTCGGTACGATGACGGGAAATCAGCCAAGACGTCGACCAACCGATCCATTTAGTCGCCTCTTACAAGAATTGGTTGCTGGGGACCTAAATTCTTCGAATACAGGGATTTTCTTTTAAAACCATAGGTATATTCGCGGATAATGTCGAAGCTGTTCCTCTCTGTCCGACTGTCATTTGTTTTGTTTCAACTTTTGTTATAAATTAAATAAAATTGTCCTGATGCGTATATTTACTTACCTGTATATACATCTAAACAAAAGATGACCCTTCGCTAGGCGAGATTCTCTGTCTGGCTGTTATAACAACGCGGACCTTGTGCAAGCGTGAACTGTCAACTGACCTTCGACGCAGAACAAGAGACGGCAAAGAAGCGTCGATCCACGCCAATTTGTGTGCCACAGAAGCGCGCGTTATGACGTCATCAGGTGAGCGAACTTGGTAACCTATTGGACTCCGGCCCAAGGGAATCTTTACATCACTTGGGCTGCCACGTTATCTGTGCTGGTAGTTGTAGTGTGAGGGAAGCGCCTTGCCACAGTTGTAAGTCTGAAAATATGTCAAGCTAGGTCATGTTTAGGACAGGTCGTAAACAATGGTAGAAGATATAAACTAAATCCGTGGTCTACATTGCGTAAGTTAGTAAATAATTGATTAACGTCATATCATCAATGTTCCCAAGTTTGAGAAAGTGAGTAAATAATTGATTAACGTCATATCATCAATATTCCCAAGTTTGAGAAAGTTAGTAAATAATTGATTAACGTCATATCAGCAATATTGTCCAATTTGAGAAAGTTAGTCCATTGATTAACGTCATCTCAGCAATATTGCCTAGTTTGAGAACGTAAATCAATAATTGATTAATGTCATATCAGCAATATTGCCTAGTTTGAGAACGTTAGTTTATAATTGATTAATGCCATATCAGCAATATTGTCCAATTTGAGAAAGTTCATTGATTAACGTCATCTCAGCAATATTTCCTAGTTTGAGAACGTTAATCAATAATTGATTAATGTCATATCAGCAATACTGCCTAGTTTGAGAACGTTAGTTTATAATTGATGAATGTCATATCAGCAATATTGCCTCGTTTAGGAAAGTTAGTTAAAAATTGATTAATGTTAAATCAGCAATATTTCCTAGTTTGAGAAAGTTAGTTGATAATTGATTAACGTCATGTCAGCAATATTCCAGGGTTTGCGTAAGTCAGCGAATATTTGAATAACCGCTCATCAGCAATATGTCTTAGTTTCAGCTGAGCGATGTTCTTTAGTTTGAGTATCATCACAGCGACTTGTATAATGTAATCAGTAAACTCACCACTCTTTAATAACACCTATTTGCACAAGTTTCAAAGGCAATGGTAATTAGTTTAAATCACAATGTCTGAAAAATATAAATAATAAAAACAAGTTGTCCCAATAAGAACAACTTACGTCCTTGTACTGTTCGCTTATCCAACTTGCCTATTGTAAGGATAGAATTACTATACATCAATGGACTTATTTATCAGTCTAGACTTGGAGCAAGGCTAGGCTAGCCAGTGCCCTCATTTTATTCTCAAATGTCTTAATTGTCAAGTGCCTAACTGAAACTTCAACAAAGTTCAAATATTAATAAATTAATTATACAATACAAAATAGTAACCAAACGTAATGGAATTAATATTGAAAATATAATTTCATTTTTTTTAACAGCTGAAGTTATTTTTACGAACTCTACACTCGGAAAAGAACAAGATTTTTCTTCTGCAGTCGGTGGTCATCTTTAGCGAACAGCAATTTCTTTAAATCAAAATTATCATCGTTATACATATCTTTACACTAACACAAAGATAATGTCGCCGTTAAATCTACACAAAGATGTCAACATTGCTAATATTTTCCGACAAGATTTGAGCATCTTGCTCCAATGTCAATAGTAGTACCCATCCGAAATACTATGTTTGCTCCAGACAGACGAATACAAACGTGCGTGAACATATGATAATAATGAAATTCCACCAGACAATTATTACAAAATAGATATATTTCACAAACTATATCAATCCCAGGTCAAAGGTTACGTAGAAGACGCGTTACCGATGCATGTTTAGACCGATAAAATATCTTGCTTAAAAGCATGTGGTTTTGTTATGCGCACAGGGGTCGAAATCGTGACAGCTCCGCGCAGGTCATTTTCCTTAGGATAGGTAGTTGAGTCTGGGCAATGAGAAGTTGGGGTACAAGCGGGAAAGTGTCTTTTAGTCGCTGGAAGTCGGGAATTTACCGTGTCTAGGAAGTTGGATACAATTTGAAACAAGGTGTATGGCTTGAGTGTGGGCAAATCGTTAACCGAGAGAATTCATCCGCATATTTTACAGCTAGCGTAGCGCCGGGACATACCAGCGGAGCGACACTCACTCAGTCGTTCATTATATCGACTATGTCAACGTGCGGGGAAACTTGCTTTTATCATTGATGTTTATCATGAGGATTTCTCGATATAAGACACCGTGATACTGTCTTCAACACCTAAAATGGATCTTACAACGATTTTAGGTGTCAGACTGTTTGGAGTACTTATATTCTTGATGACGTGCAATACGACCTCGGCAACAGGTAAGTTGTCTATCAATTTGTTTTGTAGAACGGGACACTCCGACAGGTATTTCTATGTGTCCGGAGGTATTTTTTTAATGTCCTTGAGCCCCGATCATAGGGTTCACGAAACACACGAATCTGGCACAAAATACAAATACACGTCTAGCTGGGTTTCTTTAAACATTAGTGTTTGAAAACTTAGCGGCACATCAAAGGAAAATACCAGTCGCGGTTGCCATTTAGGTAGACTACCTGATCACAAATGATCAGTAAGGGAATGTCAACTGTTTGGGTATAGCCTTGGCCATAAAACTCTTAACTTCTCCATCGCAACGTCAAACTGCCCACAACTAGCTAAACTTATCAATCTATACTTTTCGTAATACCAGTAATCTGACAGGTGACATTGACAACGTTGTTTCGTATTTGACAGCTGGCCTAAGAATCGTTTCGGGAACTTTTAACCCCACCAATTTGCCTAAATCTACTTCAGCTAACCTCTAAACGATAGTAAATGCTTATGTTATCATATACGTGTCTAATCTTTGAGCGTGGGATATGCAGGTGAACACACCTTCGCCTTAGAAAAACTAGGCCACATGCAACGCACATCAGATAGAATGCAACTGGTTTTATTGCTTACACGGTCGTACGGAACAGGAGAGGGAACATACTTGTCTATTGTCAATGACGGGGTCTATACACTGTGTGACGTGTGACCTGCTTTAGTAGGCCGGGCTCATTCCCAACATATAGGGAACATTATTCCTTACAACACTCAAAGTTGGCTGTCTCGTTACAAACTATATACAGTATGTGTTCGCTCATAGCTCAGGTCCGACGTTCGCTCGTATTGCCTTAACGCGTGTGTGTTTATATATCTGTTCCGGCTTAATGCCTTAGATCGTACAATAAGAGGTGATTACGTGAAAATATATAGGATAATGATATTTATGTCTTTAGTTAGTTATTTTGGCTTCTAAAGATTCAATACTAACATATAATGATGCATATTTTTTGTAGTATTTATGTCTGAAATCAACATTGACCTTTAGCCAAAATCGAAAATTAGAAAGAATTTTAAGTACATTTTGAAACTTTTGTGAATAAAGTCATGATGGCACATATAGATCTCAAAAGAAGTTGAAAAACACTCAATTCTGTCATATTACTATAGTTAATCTTTATCTATGGTAATATGAAATAATTAGAGTTTTTTTTAAGTATATTGCAATACTACTCAAAGTTGGAATGTGTACAGCTACCCAATTATATAATAAATTATCCTTTATGTGAAATATTAAGTAAGTTTTTTTTAAGCAGAAAATATTTGAATGCAAGGTTTGGTTTATTAAAATAAAAAGGTAAGAGGAATTTGCCAGAGGAAGTCTTGCCGAGTTGAGTTTAACATGGTGTTATGTCATCCTGTTGTTGTCACATGGAATGTTGTTTGTAAACACCTTGCTATGTTAATCATCAGGCATCATGCTTGGTTATTTTCATGATAAGCTGGGACAAATGTTTCAGATTTGACCACCCACTCATGTCGGGGAATGGAATTTGAATATCGTTTACCGATATTTATTTAAGTGTCATTTAAGATCTGAAGGTTCAAATAACTGTATAGAAATGTCAGGGATAGAAGACAAGTTGAATCCATAAATGTCTTTATAGAAATCACAAGTTTTCTACATTGCATATATTTTGTAAAGATAGCAGTATTGTAGATTTTGTGTCACAGTTCACATATTTGGTTTGTGATAGGCCGTAAACTAGGCCTGCAATTGAATTATGATGAATAGCAATGGCAAGGACAACAGCAAGTTATGTGCATGTCTATTGCAACTTCCTGAAGTGTGGCGCCATGGAAACACACAATCAGGCTTGTGTCCGCGCCCATCCCAAGATATTTAATCGACATACAATGAGAAATTGGTTTATTACTTGCGGTAGCTGAATTAGAATAGAGCAATGTGGAAACAAGACTCTTTTATACCTGGGACACATTTCCTACTCAGAATAACTTTTCCATCATCAGAAACCTCTTTAGAAATTGACTAGTTGAAATTAAGATCAATTGAAATTGACGACCTTGTTTTTTGGAGAGAAATGTGTTTTTGAACATGAATTTCATATCTATTGAGTTTTGCATTTATGGTTATTGAAGTTATTTGTAGGTGTAAACTTGACATGCTTGAACCATTATTATAAATGTTGCATCATTGAGCTAAAAACCTATTATGTGAAATGTATAATACATTTCTGACAGTTTTTGATAGAGGTGGGTTGTGAAAATTACAAGTTTGTGAAATGTACAAGTTTGTGAAATGTACAAGTTTCTATTTCTGTCCTGGTTATGCTCCCTTGTTCGGGACATGTTACTTTCATGGATGATATATGTGTTCATATCATTGTTAATATTATGTTTATTTCTCGGTCAGGTGGCCTAGTGGTTAAACATGTTAAAGTGTTCGCTCGTCACGCTGAAGACCCGGGTTCAATTCCCAACATGGGCACAATGTGTGAAGCCCATTTCTGGTGTCCCCTGCCTTGATATTATTGGAATATTGCTAAAAGTGGCGTAAAACCATACTCACTCAGTTTATTTCTCATAACTGGATATATATTATGGATTAATTTGTCTGACACATTTAATTGAAAGCAAATACTGAAGAACAGCTGGTCCACATTTAATGTTTGTTTTTCAATGTTGTACATTTCTTTACATTTGCACAAGGGTGTTCAGTAGAATTCTGTTGCTTAAAAGTACAACATGTATAGTAATTGATGTTTATGGAAGCAATATTTAAGTAAAACATGCTAATATTGCATTGATTCCTTTTCAATATTTTATTTAAATGTTGCATTTATATGAGTGAACATGGCGCGTCAATCAGCAATATTCAAGTTACACCAAGGTTGTTGTAAAATGTTGTATATTGAATCAAAATGTCTCCAAATTTTGTGTATGCACATCTGTAGGGCATAATCCCAAGTATTTTATTTTTTAAAAACAAACATTGGAACCTGATATCAGTTTGTTTGTACCTACAATGTGTTATTTAGATTTTGTTTTTGAAACATTTTTCTCCATTTCAAAGTGGTGCAATGTTTGGCATTGAAAACAAATTGACACCCTCATTTCAAGATTGGTCCAGACCGCCTCCGTGGTCTAGTGGTAGAGTGTCCGCCCGGAAAGCGGAAGGTCCGGGGTTTGATCCCCGGCTGCGTCATACCAAAATATGTTTAAAGATGGTACTTGTTGTTACCCTGTCTGGCTTTTGTCATTAAGGGGCTAAAACAAGGACTGGTCGGCTCGGAGTCAGTATACTGTGTCTGTCTGAGTGGAGTGTATCTCAGTGAGCTAGCACTATAAATCGGCATCAGTCCGGACTAATACAAGCAGCCACACACACACACATGCATGCACGTCGCTATATAAGTGCAATAATCTTGGACGCGACGTTAAACACCATTTCACCTCACCTCGCCAAGGTTTGTCCAGTCAGTGCTCTGCACCGTGCCCATCATTAGTGAAATCATTCAACCATGCTGACACGTTGGCTGATCACATGGTACATTAATTTGTACACACCTTACTTAGCGCCATGCTGCTATTCAGGAAAGGTCGTTAAGAGTTGTGTTGATTGCTGATTGAGATAATCATCAGTTATTGGTAACATATGGGTCTTTTGAAAAGATGGACATTGATTTTGTATTTTGCTTACATGAGCCAACTATGTGAAACAATTTTAGTTGCCCTGTGACCTACACATGAACTCAAGGTGTTATCAGAAGGAATTGTTGCACTATAAAATCTAAATTGTTAATAGATGCCATGGTTACTGATTAATTTCACTTGACATAATGAGGCCTATTTTGAGTTTGGTCAGGATCAAAGGCTGCGAGAGAGATCAACTTACAGTGTTTCTGTTCAGATATAAATTTACCAGTTCACTGGACCGGCAGTCCTTAAAAATACTGATACATTCAATATTGTGGACTGGTGGAGTTAAATTTTACTGATACATGGCAATTACCAAAAAACCTGAAAACACAGACTTGAATGTCAGCTGAAAGTTTGCATATTATCTTTCATGTCTATGGGTCAAGAACAGGCCAATATTATATAGTTTTGTATGTCCGTCAGTTGGAAGGCAGTTATGCCAAACAGGCCTATACAGAATCTTCCTGTAAATATGCTCTTCTGTTCTTTTGCCTGTAGGTGATAGTGTTTTGTTGCTAAGGTGGGCTTGTGAAAATTGCTCCGTTGGCTTTATACCTTTATCGATATCTAAATACATGCAGGCATCTGTTCCATGTTACTGTGTTGACAACAATGTTCACACTAAGCCTGTGACTTGATGTCCAAACACTGTGTTTATAGATGGTGATCACAGATGGTGATCTTGTGATGTGGTATTCACATATAATATTGACCATATGACACAGTGTTCACATGTAATACTGACCATATAACATGGTGTTTACATGTAATGATGTAGCTGTGAACATCCCGGGTAGAGTAGGTCTTCAGCAACCCATGCTTGCCGTAAGAGGCGACTAACGGGATCGGGTGGTCAGGTGCGCTGACATGGCTGATGCATGTCATCGTATCCCAATTGGTATGATGTTCATATCAATCACTGGATTGTCTGGTCCATAATGATTATTTACAGACCGCCGTCATATAGCTGGAATATTGCTGAGTGCGGCGTTAAACGAAAAAACAAACCAAAACATGTAATGTTGGTCATACAACATGGTGTTCAGACATAATATTGACCAACCACCATGGTTGTTACATGTAATACTGACCATATGACATGGTGTTCACATTTAATACTGGCTGTGTGACTTGATGTTCACATTTATTGCAGGCCGTGTGACATGATGTTCACATTTAGTACTAACCCTGTGACATGGTGTTCACATTCAGTACTGTCCATATAACATGGTGTTCACATTTAATACTGGCCGTGTGACATGGTGTTCAGTTTGCATGTTCACAGCTATGG